CCCGAGCGAAAAATAAAATAACCAAGCCTACCCAAAAGCTAACCCTTATCGCCACTACAAATACCAGACCATCCATTCCTACCTCCCTCGCCCAGGCCATGCGTGATCCAAACTGGCGGCACTCCATGACAGACGAATATAATGCTCAATTAGCAAACAAAACGTTTGAATTGGTGCCACCAAGACCGGATCAACATGTTATTGCGACAAAATGGATACATACGATTAAGTACTTACCTGATGGTACTCTTCGCAGGTACAAGTCTCGCTGGGTAGCTCGTGGATTCAAACAGGAATATGGCATTGACTATGCTGAGACCTTCAGCCCCGTTGTCAAGACACTGACCATTCGTCTTGTCCTGCAACTTGCCGTCACGCGCTCGTGGGTGATCAAGCAACTAGATGTCAACAACGCTTTTCTCCAAGGTACTCTCACCGATGAAGTCTATGTATCTCAGCCACCTGGTTTTGTTGATCCCAATCGTCCACACCACGTCTGTCGCTTAAAGAAAGCGCTTTACGGTCTCAAACAGGCACCACGTGCGTGGTACCAAGAACTGCGTAGTTATCTCCTTCAGATGGGCTGCACTAACTCCGTCGCAGACACCTCGGTCTTTGTCTACATCAATGGCGACCATATCATTTATATTCTGGTGTACGTTGACGATATTATTGTCACCGGCAGCAGCAACAACTTGGTGGAAGCTTGTATTCGCGTCCTAGCCACACGCTTTTCACTTAAAGAACCGACCGATCTCACTTACTTTCTTGGTGTTGAAGCTACACGAACTCAGGCTGGTCTTCATCTTATGCAACGCAAATACATCGTTGATCTCCTCACTAAGACAAAGATGTTGGACGCGAAGCCCGTCACCACACCGATGCAGGTATCGCCGAAACTAACTCTCCACTCTGGTAAACCCATGGCTGATCCGCGTGAGTTTCGTATGGTTTTGGGAAGTCTACAATACTTGTCCTTCACAAGACCAGACATCGCTTACAGTGTAAACAGACTCTCACAATTCATGCACCAGCCAATAGATGAGCACTGGCAGGCTGTCAAACGTGTCCTGCGATATCTTGCTGGAACGCAATCCCATGGCATTCTACTCCGTCGAGACACCCCTCTCTCTCTACATGCTTACTCTGATGCAGATTGGGCAGGTGACACCGATGATTTCATTTCAACTAATGCTTTTGTCTTATACATCGGTGCAACTCCAATAGCCTGGTCGTCAAAGAAACAAACAGGGGTTGCTCGATCCTCTACCGAAGCTGAATACCGTGCCGTTGCTAACACGGCTACATAAATGAAATGGGTCTGCTCCTTACTAACAGAATTGGGAATCACGCTCACGAAACCTCCAGTCGTCTTCTGTGATAATGTAGGAGCGACATACCTCAGTGCCAATCCTATCTTTCATTCACGCATGAAGCATCTTGCACTAGACTTTCACTTCGTCCGTGAGAATGTGCGCTCAGGAGCTCTACGTGTCACTCACGTTTCAACAAGGGACCAACTCGCAGATGCACTCACCAAACCACTACCAAGGATTCGTTTTACAGAGCTTATACACAAGATTGGAGTGGTTTCACTCCCTCCATCTTGAGGGGGTGTGTAGAGTATAAATGTATAAAGGGTAGTTTAGACAATCATGTTAACCTAGTACTCTCCTTGTATACCGTATATATACTTGTATCTCTCAGTCTAATAATATTCATTCAGTTCCCAAACCTATAATATATATATATATATGTAAACTAATTTTAAGTAGATTATTGATTGTTATTAGAAGTGCGGTAAATTTAACCATTCACTATAGAAATTGAATTTAAGTATTGTTCTTCTTTAATCTATGAAAACGTTTGATTCCTCAAGTCAAATTTCATTTCCACCTGCGAACGTATGAATTGAAAATGATGGATTTGGTTCTTCATTGGTGGTTATGCATGCGCTGCTTCAATGATGTTATGGTAGGCTATATCACATATATCCATGAACTAAAAGATATTTTAAATCAACTCATACATATTAAACAGGTTAAATCAATCCTACTAGTTTGTACCAGTCAAATCCGTCACAGTTACAACATATTTCAGACGATTTTTGGTGGTCTAGTAACCTGCATGGTCAAAAGAAGTAAGCTGGACCTAGCCTAAGAAATAAAATAAGAACTGTTCGTACCTAGTCTAAAAACAATAATGCCCCTGTTGGAATTAATCATGTTCTTAAACATTTGTTGTTCTTAACAATCAGTAAATAGAACCAACTGTATGTGCTGGACCAGTGGTGAGAGATTATGGCCTGTCGGAACTTCTCTCTATTAACAATTTTAAAAAATCAGTAAACACAGAAACGAGGGTTTAGAGTTTGTGTATTCAAATTCAAAACCATATGAGCATTTACTAATTGTCTAGTTGAACTAACTATTCTAACTGTTTTCTTTCTTAAATTTCATTCTGAAAGCTTTCATATGTTTGAAGAAAATTAACAGTAAACGATTTAAGAAAAAACAACCAAATTGTCTTGATCAAGTGGTAAAAAGACTCCAACTGAAGCTTTCGTGTTGGGTTCGATTTTTTTTTGACCATCTAGCTGTGTCATATTTTGATGGATTAGTTGCATACCTAGATATAAGGTATTGTGAGATTAGTCTTATAACCTATAAAGTTTTTGGGATTTCTATAGTTACAAAATAAAAGTAAAAAAAAAAAAGAGTGTATGTTTAGTCAGCTGTCTTCGGCTTTTTTTTTTTTTACTAATTCTGAAAACAAAAATCGAATAAACTAAAAAGAGCCCATGAAATAGCAAAAGATGGATAGATTCGTTATAGATTTTCACAAATAAATAAATGAACTAAGGTAAATAAATAAATGAACTAAGGTATTCTTCATCACATCTTTCCACGCCAAGTATTTTCGAAGTTCAAACTTTAAATTATTATATTGCTCTATAGTGTCTCCAAAATCTACCTCTTATTAGTATAAACTAGATCTTTTCTCCGCGCTACGCGCGGATTACATGTTTAAAATTTTGTTTATTTTTCTATTTTTTTCTTTTTAATAAATATATTTTTACCCAATAATTTCCATTTTCCTTTTGTTTTATGCATAAAATTTAAACATTTTCATTGTTTCATAATGTATATGTTTTACAAAAGATTTGTGTCTGAAAATGTAAGATGTTTTGATACTATAAATTTTTCATTTTTTTTTAAATTATTGGACCAATAATATTATATTTATTATTTATGTTTGATTAATTCAGTTTAGATTTATATTATTGATACTATTTAAAAAAATTATTAATTTTTATCCATGTGACCAAAACATATAATAAAAAATAGAGAAGTAAATTGTAAACTTTTTTTATCATCAAATTATTGTTTTGCCTAATTCAAACCCATTATTAGGACATGACTGATTTCACCACAACACTTGTGGATGTGGTTGCTTATGCAGGTACGATGATTACGGCTTTAAGCATTATTAAATATTTGTACGTTATACGGTTAGAAATTGGTACGTTTACATGATACTTATGACTGATTAACTATCAAATGTACCAATGGTTAAATAATAAATTAATAATATTTACATTTTATTTAATTATAAAAATATTTAAAATCATTTTGTTTTAATAAATATAAAACTTATATTTTTGAAAAAATTATAAAAATATTTTGTTTTAAAATTTTATCACAAAAGCAGCTCTCAACAAACAAATAATTGAAGCTTTACAAAACTCACGACCAAATACACTTAGGAGACAACAATCCATACTGTAAACAAAAATCAATCGAGACATCATTTATACATTTCTAGTCCTTTTCTAATTGATCATCACTCCTTAATTCTTCAGTCCTCTATTTTTTTTTTGTTGGTGTTGCTAAAATTGTTGTTTTGATGTAAATCACTCTGACAAAAGAATATAATAAGTTAAAATAGGGAATTCCACTTGAACTTAGATTATGACTGGAAAATATACGATGTTAGATTAGATTTTTTTAACGTTTTGAAAATATTTTGTTATCGCATTAAATATATGGGAGATAAGTCTAGCTTCAAAGCTTAAATCCCAAGTATGATGAATCTGAGAGACCAAACAAAAGATGGGAGTGTGTTGGATTTAGACTTTTCTGTTATGTTGTGATGTTGTGAATGGTGGAAAAGCGTAACTGGAGATTTGTTTCTATCCTAGACTAAGACTAAATCAAACTAAGACGCAGAGATATAATTTAGTTACTTAATATGGTCATTTTTATCAGAAAAAATCAGTAACTTTATAACTGTTGTTAAACAAACTTACTCCGAAGGAAACATGCATGCAGGGTCGGCTGAGAGGGGGGACAAACGGTGCGACTATCCCGAGCTCAAATCCGTGTTCCCCTTATCCTATCAATTATGGGGTCCAATTTTTTTTATATCTACATATTTTTATATAAAAATTTTAAAATATTTACTAAATTTAATTGAAAAGGGTCCTAAAATATTTTATGTGTATATAATGTATTTTTATCCGAAAATTTATAAAGATGAATGATAATTTTTTTAAAAAAAATTAAATATTTAATAAAAATAAATATTAAAATTTAATATTTTGGTTTTGTGATGAATTTTTGTTTACTTCTTAAGTGGATGTAGAACTGTTTTTCGTATATATTAATTTTATAATACTTCATACTCTTTTATTTAAGTTTATTTTAGTTATTATATAAAAGAAATATAATAAGATAAATCATGAATTCTTATAGTTAAAAACTAATTATTTTATTTAAGAAATTCACTACTTTAAAACATAACTTTCTCTATTTTATAAATAGCCATTTAAATATTTTTCTTGTAACACAAAGAATTTCATAAAATACATGGATCTTATTTTAAGCTTACTATTAATCATAAAATACATGATTTAATAAGGTAACTCTTTTCTGTATATAGGTTTAAAATAAATTGAGATAGAGGAATATACTTCAGAATATTGTGTAATTTAGAAATACACGACTCTTTCCGCCACCACCTCCTATCACCATCTGTTGATGGTCTAAGATTGCTTGGAAGACATTCAAAAAGCCGTCAGGTTCCATTGGCTTGCTACAAATTTCAAATGAGAAAAAGGTGTTAGAAACGATCCTTGCTTCAGTTAGGCAAAACATGTATGTGTATTCAAAGACGGAACCTGTAGTTTTGCAGTATATGTATGAACTCATCCTCTAGCTTTGATAAAGCTTTAGAGAGCAAATTGTGAGCATGGCCAATAACTCCAGTAGCAGTACTCTTAAACATCTTGTTGTTGCTGAAAAACTTAATACTGCCTCTTAGTTGATCAATTGCTTCCAGATAGATTTCGAGATCCTCATGTGGTCCTGACAAACAATCAAAAATTGATCAATCTTGATTCAGCTTAATCATTAATTCAGCCACAACCACAAAAACCAAAACTGTCGTAGATTTAGTTGAAGATAAAACTCAGTAGTGTGTCATGATGTGAACTTGTAAGCCAAAGAAGAGCTTGAAAGCAAACCAAAAACTAACAATCTGTACATTTTGTGGTGAAATCATGCTACTGGTAGAAATGCAAAACCTTAATAAGGACTACTATTTATCTTACTCCCTTTAAGTCAAAGAACCTCTTGAAGACCTAGGGATATAGACTAATCAGTATCCAGAGAAGAGATTCAACATGAACCTGTACAATCCATGTTGACAATCTTAAGGTAAAAAACGTTAAATCATACCCAATGATCTTTCTCTTCATTTACAGGCTTTATATTGTTCAGCCAATCACCCAATCCTGTCTACTTCCCCCAATCTCCTTAGCCTACACACATCAAAAAAATATCGGATTAATAAAAAGAAAGGATGATGGAATTGAAAACATAGGGCAAAACTGATATAAAATGCTAGTTTAGGAACCTGAAACATTGCAGTTGTCACTATGTCCAGAAGGGTGGTGGTAGTATAACTATTTGATTGCAGTCTGATACGTTTAGCATCAATGTCTACGGGAGTCTTGGAACAAAAAACCAGAATAGAAGAATCCAGTTTCTGGATAGAAAAAAAAAGTATATATAAAACTCTCAGTCATGCAAATAGCAACAACACCAAAAAGGCCTTGGAGAATTAAACTTATACGCTAATATCTTACCTCGCATCTAGTGATGTTCTCAAGGGAAAATATTCTCAAAGTTCGGCTAGCACAATTTTCAGAGCCGATTAACTAAAAGAAACAGTAATCAGTAACACAAAAGCTAAAAGCTTTGAGTAAGAAAACTGAGTTGGAACACATTACCTGAAAATTTTAAGAACATCAGTTGTGGTCTGTCCGTAAGTCTCCCTTATAAAGGAAATTACATGACTAATATATAGAAAAGAGCAAGAGAACTTGTTGCGATGAAATGATCTCAACAGAAACCCAATCCTTCGGCGATGAAGAAGAAGGATTCACAACAAAGATAGTTGGGATTAGGGTTGTTTGTCACCAATACTTGGGCTGCCGGGCCAACTCGCCATAAATTAGAAAATCAAATGAAAGAAGACCCAATACACTGAATAAAAAAAGCTGACGTCGCATATTCAACTGAATCCTATTGGAGGATTAAAAAAGCTGACGTGGCTTAAGGAGGGGGAAGTATATCTAGCTTTTAGTATAGTATAGATGTGTATTCCCTTCAACTTATTTTGTCAAATAGAATTACTCTCATTCATAGAAAAACTCTTCTATACCGCTCTTAGTCGAGAATCCCTTCTACATTATTTGAGAAGTGATTTTGCCACATATCCTCTTTAGAATCAGTTTCACAAAAAAAATGGTGACATGTCTACTAAAAGTGATGACATGGCATATGATTAAATATGACATGGACAATTACATATATTACATTTAATGGCGATTTATATTTTTAGAAAACTTTATAGAATATGGTAACAACTCATATATTACATTTAATGGCGATTTATATTTTCGGAAATAGTCTTAAAATATGGTAATAACTAATAAATCACCATTAAAATAAATATATACCAATATGGCATTAAAAATTTCGAAAATATCATTTACTTATATATATTTTAAAACTATACAATTTTATTACAAAAAATTCAAAAATGTATACATTTTTTGAAATTATTAAAATTTAATCCTAAAATTATTAATTTCTTATATATTTAAAATTTTAATAAATATTTTCTAATTTTAATTTTTGATAATTATAAAAATTTCTACAAATTTATTTAATATATTTAATTAAAATAAATAGATAAAAAAATTATCTAAGATTATAATTTTAAATATATACATGCATATTCTTATATATAATTTAAAATAAACAAAAATATTTTATTAAAATAGTGATAAGAAAAAGAACTCATAAATTATCATTAAGATAATAAATAATATAATAGTAGAAATATAAATATAATAATATTACAAATATTGAAATATTTTTAAGTGTATTTTTATAATTATATATTTTTATTAACAATTTTTTGCAAAATTTTATGCAGTATTTTTAAAACTTAACATTTTCTAATGCCAATACCATTAGCTTTATTTATAACATCTATAAATTTTGGAAATATTATTTAATTTTATATTTTGATAATTATATATCTAACAAAATTTTCTCTTAATAGTATAGAATCTGATTTAATATAATTTAACCAAAAGATAAAAGATACATATATATTATTAAATATAAATTTAAGAAAATTTTTGTAAGATAGACGTAAAAAAAACATTTTAATCACAAATATATACCTTAAAATTAAATGATCAAGATAGACTTTAATGTTTTATCAAAAATAAGTAAATATACATTTATATCCTTTGGATTAACTAATCGTAAACATTTTTGTTTAAAGTTGAAGAGTAGGGTTTTGGGATATGATTAAAAAAAACATTTTAAAAAAAAAATTGAAATTTTCAAAATAAAAAAATGATGTTTCGGTCATTTTAGTTTTAAGATCTATTTTTGTGAAAAAAACCTTAAAAAGTTCTATTTGAGAATTGTCATATATTTAAATAAAACTGTTTATTTTCTCTTAATTTTTACATATAATTAATGTAAAATTAATAATGTAATAAAATAATAAATTTAAAAATTAATTAAATTTTATTTTTAAATATAAATTTATTTTTAAAACTTTCATTTCTGCACATGGTGCAGGAAGCCACCTAGTAGTATATAGGTGTAACAGAAGAATTAATTAAATGAGATATATCATAATGCATGTCTAAATAACTGTTTCTTCCATTTTTATTTACAGAAAGAGTGAAACCAACCACGAATTTTCACTCATATTAATTTTTTATTTTTTTATTTTCAGTTGTTGTTTTATTGGAGAAATACCAGTACTGAAATAAATCCTCTACCCTCCCCCCCCCCCACCCACAGAATGAACGAGACTGTATAATGTATTTCAATGTATTTCAACATGAAAATAGTTTATCTTTAGAAAGTATACCATACAGTGATGAAGTTTATCTTTATAAATCTGATGGGTCTTTTTTAAAGAAAAAATGGAAATATAGTTTTAGAAAAGTGGGAAATAATCATAAAGGGAAGTTAACGAAATAATTTGATAATAATTGTAGATTGGCATGGTACATATATTATCTTTTTGCAGGTTCATGGTGTGAAATTTCGAGGAGATTTGGTTGTTGAAGCATTGGTTACAGACACAGTATCCTTGACAGAGAAAATTACTAATTTCTTCTAAAACAACATAAAACAAAAAGAGCAGCACAATTACCAAAGATTCTAGTTACTTTGGTTTGTACTAGTTTAGTGGTTGGACAACGACATTGTAAGGCCTCTTACTCTGATGGATTATATTTTAATTTTTAGTTAAGCGAACAAAATCAATAAAATGACATAAAAGTATGATGTTTATTTTATAATACAGTGAAATCTCTATAAATTAATATTGTTGGAATTACACCAAAATTTTATTCTTTATTAATTTTGAAAGATATTAATTTATCGATCGAACAGAAAACTCAATTTGTAACTATAAAATTATATTATTTTATAAAAAAATTTAGTGTTTATTAATTTATCGAGTATTAATTTATAGAGGGTTCTACTATATATGGTTTGTACGTAAAGAGAAATTGAGTAATGCTTTTCTAAAGCAAAATTGATCACTTCGTTCGACCAAAATGATAAGACAGATAGAATTTAGTTGAAAATACTATTTGATATTAACAACATGTGATGTTTGTGTGTGTTCTATTATGATATTGGTGTTTATGGAAACCCCTTTCATTGAACCTTTTTAATTGGTACTATCGTAGAAGTGGTTCTAGAATATATATGACTAGGGGTTGGCCCACCCTACGGGCGGGTGAATTTACGCTAAAACTATTTTATATTAAAATATATTTAATGTTTTAGAATTTTTGGAATTTACTTAATATTGAAAATAATAAATATAATATACTTTTATTCTAAGATTAAATTGTAGATTTTATTAAATTTGTTGGTTTGAGTTGAAAAACTACTAACATAGTTTTTACATATAAAACACACACAGAATTTATATAATTATTATTTTTTACAATGATAAATAAATAAATAATATTAGTATTTTATATGAGAGTTTAAATTTTTGTTTAGAAAATGATATTTAAAACTAAAATTATTCTTAAAATTTTGCATATTAAAGTTCCACACAGATTTTACATATGTATAATATATTTTTGACTAAAAATATGTATAATATATTTAAGTTCAAGTTAAATATTAATTGATAGAACATATTGTAACAACTCAATATTCCAGTAAATTATTTCTGAATCCATAAAGAGCATTAAAATATTTCTCAAACGAATTGGATGGAAGAGGAACTTGTTGATTTTGTTGATTAAAAATATTAAAGATAAAAAGCTCATTTTCACTTTGGAATGCATTAGTTATATATGAAAAGTATAGTAATTTGATGGTTAGATAATGTCTACCTTTCTTATTATTTTTGTATAATGTCCTTTTGTAAAAAATATATAGTTTAAATAATGTTGCAATTTTATGAAAATTTTAAAGATGGGGAATGGGTAGTTTTCAACATTTATAAGTAGAAAGTGTTAACTGTAAAATAAATAAAAAATCATTTTAGAGAAAGAAGTATTGAAATACATTGGAAATAAACTCTCTTCTTATATAGATTTTTTTCTATTACAGAGAAAAAAATAGAGAAATACATTGGAGATGGTATTAGTTGAAGTAGTGAACAAAATTAATGTGAAAGTTGTAGATGAAAATACATTTTAATAGCCTGGTGCCGCTTATATGAAAATTGTAAAGGGGCAGAGCAAAAGTAATATGATGTGATTCATATCGGTATAAATTTTTTTTTTTACTTCCCTTCAAATAGAAGGCAAATCTGATAAGTACCATAAAATTATTAATAAATTTTCAGACGATGAATATAAATAGTATCAAGTGAATAAAAATGTTATAAGATTAGTCTAAACTAAATGATATGTAATCATGTAATTAGTGGAGCAAGCAACGTCAATCCTATAAAGCGTTAATGTACTGCACCCCCGAATAAGACTGATAAAGAAAATGGTCAGTACATATCTCACTATGTTTTCAACAAAATCTCTGATACAATCAATTCCCATTTTAAAACAAAGAAACTTTATTGTAAATAGTGTTTCATTGTTTGAATAAATTCTCTGGTTCATTTTGTCAAGTAAAGAGAGCACTCAGGGGTTTATAAAATGTAAGAAAAGGTAGAAGGGGGAGAATCCATTACATCACACGTACATAAACTTTATAAAAGCTGATTACCATATCAGTATGAAGCTGAGCTTAACCATTTACCGAACATCAGCCGTACATATATCAAGTATTGTCTAGATTACCATGTCAGTTTGAAGTAAAGAATAGAGTGATTAAGAATGGTATAGACGAAGATCATGAGAAATATGAAGATAGAGATGGTTCACTCACCGAATTCCTAAAAAAAAAAATAAAGAGTTTCAGTTTCTGATTACTCTCTTATCTCATCCCACCATTTGGAAGACCAATAAGATTCACTAATAATGAATCTATATGACAGTGAACTCACCCACTCAACAGTGAGATCTCCATAGATATACAAAGCTCATCATAATCTTCTTCCTAATTGTCTCCACCGCACAATGCCTCTGGATCTGTAACACACATTCGAGAACAAATTTTACACTCAATGATATCGTTAAACTCTAAGAGCAGGGCTTTTTGCTTTAATAACTTGTGTTTTTGGAGGATAGTGTGACTGGCTGTACCGTGAGTTTCTTCT